CTTATAATTTTCTTCAGACAGTAGGAACAGTAGCGATGTCCACACTGAGCTTGAAACGGCCTCCTCAATATATTCTTGCACTCTGAACAGAGGTATTTGACCTCCAGTTTAGTTCCCAGTATCTCCTTTGAAAACCCAGGCTGGTTTAGATCCAAAGAGCCAGGTGGAGTAGAGTTTGCTGCTGCCATGGGAGCCCAAAGTGCTGCCTGGATCTCAAAAGCCTGAGAGAAATACAAATATTGTCCTTGTTTAATCGTAGCTGGAYGGTGGTAGCTTTGCCGTGTAAACTGTGCTAGTTCCAGCAGGCTAAACCAGCACCCAAAACCCAAGAGCAGAGGGAAGAGCCAGATCTGAGCCACGAGACTGCCACAGTGTGGAGTGCAGCGACCAAAAACCTAACTCCAGAATTAACTCCAGGACGGGCTGAGCAGATCTCATTAAAATCCCCCACCCAAATAAGTTAATTGCGACACGGGGGGATCGGGAAGGGCTTCTGGCGCCGAGCCAGAGCAGAGGGGGCCCGCAGCTGAACTCGTCCCGCGCGGGAATCGGCGGCCTCCCGTCACCGCAGCCGGGGAGCCCGGCGGCTCCGAGCACGGGCCTCCTCCCCGGCGGGCTGCGCGGCCTGCAGCGGGTACACCAGCACACCCAGGCGGCGCTTAAACAAGGCGCGAGAGAGGCGGCGGGGAGCGCCAGGGCCCGGCGCGCCCGGGGCCGCTCGGGACAGGGCCCCCCGCCGGGGCCGGGGCCGGGGCCGCCACCGCCTCCCTGCTCCCACAGGCGACAGCCCCTCCGGGCCCCGCGGCCCGCGCTGCAGCCGGGCGGGCCCCGGAAACCCGCGGCTCGACGGAGGCCCCAAGGCCGGGGCGGAGCGGGGCGGCCCCGCACTCACCGGCACCGCCGTCCGCGCCGCACCGGAAGCCCCGTGGCCGGGGCCACGCCCAGCGGACACGTGTGGCCGGTCACGCCCCGCCCCGCCGGCCCCGGTCCCGTCGCCCCGTGTCGCCGCTCCCGTCCCCGCCCCGTTACTCCCCTCTTCCCTCCCCCGTTAGCTCCCCGTCACCTCTCGTCACTCCTTTGTCACCCCTCCCGCCTCTCCCCCGATACGAGCAGGACGCGGTCCCGGGGACCCCCGCGCGCCGCCGGCTCCCGCCGCCCGGGATCGGTGCAAACAGGGACCCGCCGGCCTCGCGCCCCTGCGCGGGCGGGAATCCCCCTTCCCGCCGGGAAGCACCGCGAGCCGGGCAGGACGAGAGCGGAGCCGGCGCCTCCCGCCGCTCCTCTCCCGTTAACGGCACCGAGAGCGACCCCCGGTGCCCCCGTCCCCCCAGCGCCTCGGCCGCGGCACCGGACGTGCCCGGGGGCTCCCGGCGCCTTCCCGGAGCTGCCGCCACGCGGCCCCGCAGCCCCGCGGACACGGAGCGCCGTGCGGGCGGCTGCGGCCCAAAGGCAGCACAGGCGCAGAAAGGCCCCGCTCATCCCGGCTCATCCCAGGCTGTGCTCGGGATGTGCCCTGCTCCTGCCCGAGCCGCACGGGACCCTCGGAGCAGCCGGCGGCGGCTGCCGGCGGGTGACACCGAGCGTGTGCCCTGCCCTGCCCGCTCACCTGCCGCCCGCGCGGGCCGCGCGGCTCCGCTCGCAGCATGGCACCGCCGCGCAGAGCTCAGCCTAGAACCGGAGRGGGCAGAGGGCGGCAGCGCCCGCTCATCGCACGGGAAGCGGCCCCGGGAAGTGGAAGCGCCCCACGTGGCCGTGAGCTCAGCGCCGAGGTGCTTTTCGCGGGGGAACTTCGTGTCGCTAAAGGTCACGCACAGATGGGTCACTCGGCGGGGCCGCCGCAGCCGCCGCTCGCTCCCGCCCGCCGTGCTCCACTCCTGAACTGGCCTCAGCGGCTCCGGGCACCACCAGTGTGACCCCCGGGAGCTCTCCAGCCTGGAGAGGCTTCTGGACACACAGCGAAGCTCTGCGGGGCCCTGTCGCCTCGTGTGCGGCTGAACACGAAGGTCTGGTTCTCACCATGTCAGGGAATTCACCCCACAGGCGGGAAACCTTGGGCAAAACCAGGGCTAACCCGCGTGTGGGCCCCTCCAGAGTGCCCAGCACCAGAGGCACCGTCAGGCGGTTCTTCTGGCTATCTCTGGCAGGGAAGACAGCTTGGGAGCGGGGGCAGTTGCAACTGGGAGCAAGTTAAGGCAGCTCTTGATGTTGCCTGGTCAGGCCGAGCGGGCTTCTTTGGGAGGCTCYGTTTCCTCTAGGCTGCCGCACAGCCCAGAGTGCTCCTGGGCACAGCCGCTCCAACACAGCCACATTCCTGCATGGCAGCGCACCGGGACAAGGTGCCACCCGCAGGGCTGGTGCAGGGGACGGTGGGGACACCCCAAGGCCTCGCTGCCGGTGAACTGAACCCATCTCCCAAGCTGAGGATGGTGGCAGGAGGGTGACAAGTTACCAGTGACAGCACGTGTCACCCTGTAACCTCCCACCGCACTGTCCTGGTTACCCCTGGTCACCCCTCCGTGCACCTGGGCAGTGGGGCAGCAGGCGCAGGGAGACGTGGCACCCGCCTTCCTCTGGGGATAAGGACACTGAGGGGCATGGCGAGGTGGATTCAGGGGGTACGTGAGCGAAACCAAACCCCATGCGGGGAAAGGAGGCAGAAAGCGCACGGTTTCTCCTAGCTCCTCCCTGACGACGGGACACGGAGGGGGCAGCAGGACCTCGTGGCGAGGGCTGCAAGGGCTCTAGTGGCTGCGCAGCACTGCCCTAGATTGCCACTGCTCCGCTGGGGTCAGGGCACGAGGCAGATCCCCCGCCTGCGCTGGCGCTCCACGCAACCGCTCTGCAACGTGTGGGGCCGCACGTCCCCGCTGGCATCACTGCAGCTCTTCCGTTACAAGGACCCTTTTCCAGGCATGAGGGCATTTTGTCCGGGAAAGAAAGCATTAAAAGAGCAACATTGCCAGAATTATTCATTAGATTATTATTTAATTCACTGGGGGGAAAAAAAAAAAAAAAAAAAAAAAAGCCATTTCCTGAAGTAACGTTATCCTGGCAGAACTGCTGAGCACAGACTGCACTGAGAGCACTTTTTGGACACGGGAAGGGCCTCACCTGAGCCACCCATTACCAGAAAGGAAGCACTGGGGATGGTGCAAAACAAACTCGCTGTTGCAATGTTCCATTTACCACCAAAGGGTCAGGGGGAAAAAAAAGGGGGAAAAAGTAACTTTTGCARTGGAGAGTAACAAGTCCTCAACAACGCGCGACTTGCACGACTGAGCGGTGGCTGGTGGAGCCCGGGGCGTTGCAAGGACGGCACTGCGAGGAGGGAAAACCCCTCGCGCCCCAGCCCGCAGGAGAGCCTTCCCCTCCCTCCCCRTTTCACAAGTGACCACAGGGGCTATTTAGCTTTTTTCCCCCTCCCTGGATTTACCAGAAAGCTCGTGGTGATGSCAGATGACTCAGCCCTGCGGGCTTGGAGTTTTATTACGCTTTGTTTGGAAAAGCCCAGTATTTATGAGGGCGAACCTTCGCCTGACGGACGAGCTGACGCAAGTTCACCGCCCAGAAGGCGCCCGACGCGGAATTTCACGGGAACGAGAGCGCCATGAGCTGCCATCGCAGCCCGCCCCTACCTTGCGCCCAGCAAAGCGCATTTATTGGCGCCGCGTCCCTCGGCGGGGCGCCGGAGCCGTACTCCCTGCCCCGCAAAGACGGGCCGGAACCGCCGGAGCCCAAACCCCGGCCCCGCCGCCGCCTCACGGGCCGCGCCGCCAACGGCCGCCCCAACGGCCGCGCCAACGGCCGCCTTCCAAACCCGCCCCCGCCCCCTCGAGCGCCACTATTGGACAGCAATTCTGACAGGGCTGCTGCCTTAGCCAATTATCTGTTGGTATCGGTTGAGTGGCAGTTGCAAGATCCTATTAGAGTGCACAGTGGGGGGGGAAGTTCGCCGAGCTTTCGGCTGAATTTGACATTAAGCAATCAGAGAATGCGCACGTTGATTGACAGACTCCGTGGCCTATCAAAAGTGATTGCGTCAGGGCGTGACCGAATTACTATTTATACCTAAGTTCATTGAGGTGCCCGAAGTCCCAGTTCCCTTGATGGTGCAACTCTCCACCAATGAGAGACGGTCTTTTCTGAATGGCGGGCACGCCGCCCTATCGGCAAGCGCACCGGCGGCCCCACCTCGACGGGGTGGGCGGGCGCGGGGCGGAGGCCAGCCCTTCCCCCGCCCAATCAGTGGGCGGTGCCCGGTGAGTGGCGGGCGCGGCACCGAATGGGGCGTGGCGGGCGAGGGGCGGCAGCGGCGGCGCGGGCGGCGGGCGGGGTCGGTGCCATGGCGGAGAGCGACTGGGACACGGTCACGGTGCTGCGCAAGAAGGGCCCGAGCGCGGCCCAGGCCAAGTCCAAGCAGGTGAGCGCGGCGCGGCGGCCCTCGCTGACGCAGCGCCCGGGCCGGAGCCCTCGCGGCGGCCTG